TTTCTGTCATTGTCAGGTGCTTGAACTGAGACACTGATACACTTGTAGGGCCCCAGAAGGTACTTACATCTGTCTGTAAACTAACATTATTTGGAACATAGATATTGAGAAATGTGTTTGTTTATTTAACCGTGTTTCAACAATTTTGAACTTCCCCTTTTGGAGGGCATGTGAATATTTTAACCTGTTTAGATTAAATCACTAACTAATAGAGTGCAATAACTAAATATGTGTAACATATTTGCCCTCACATTAGAATAACTTCTGCTCTGTATACATCATTGGAGCATGGGCCCTCAGCCAGCAGGCAGTTCTAATTCTAAATCTGCTGCCATCTACTGCAGATCACTCTGTAGTAATTCTGGTTTGTCTTGTGGGTTCCAGTAAAAGGACATTCTGATTACACTATTTATCATGTTTACTGACTAATCAAGGTGGTAGCAGAATATTATATTTAATCAGTATCCTGTTTATCCCAGGTTTTAAGATATGTAAAGATTTTGTCTTTTTGTAGAGATTTGCCAGACAGATCACCAGACTTCTCTAACAGCAGTGTTTCTTCTTTTTAAATTTGTTCCATTCAAGTCCTCTGTCAGTTGGGGACCCTGGTCATCCTGGAGGTTAGGTACCTTGGTTCTTTGCCTGCAGTGATGGACAATTCTATCCCATTTCTGATATTGATTTTGAGTAATATTCAAGTTGTGGACTGGTAACTGTACCTTTACAGTACCTCTCTCGGAACTGGGCATAGTTGTGTATATTTTTGTTTTTTTGTGATATTGGTTGTTAGCTAGTTCTACGTGTTTAGTACGAAAAACAAAAGTACAGTAGCATTATTTTTGGGAACACAGTCCCCCTCCCCAATCTTTAATATATTACAAAACTGAATTACTTATTTGGTAGTTAAATAGGCATCTTATCAAATGAAACCTTCCTCGTACATTGTTACATTACTTGATGTATAATGTATGTAGGAATGTGTGTAGAAAAAGAGCTTTATAAAGAGTAGCCTCAGACAAGTAGACACTAATAGTAACAACATCTTGTGATGACAAATTTCAGTAAGTTCTTATGATGGACACAGTTACTTTAGATTCACACTGCTTGAAGTTTAAAAGAGTTGTATCAGTGCACAGTGTATTAGTATTAGCCATCCCCGTGTGGATTCCGGGGCCCTATTATTGGGTAAACAAGAATAGGCTCACTGCCTACTCAAAAGCATGACGTAAGAGTCGACTAATTGGGAGCTTCCTTCGAAGTCGGAGTGCATCTGCCTGAGAGGCAAGGAACCAACAGTCTGCACACAAATTAGTCAGATCTGTCGAACGGATGTACACGTAAGACTCAGGTTCTGGAACAGAACTTTCCACCAGAGTTAACAGCTGGTGAACGCAAAGAAGAAGAAGAAGTATTAGCCTTCTTAACCATTGTATAGAGCAGTGATTCCCAAGCTGTGAGCCGGGGAGCCACGACCTCTTTACAGGGGCGCTGCGAAATATTAGAAGGTACACGAGTTTGTTTTAAAAAATCTTTTACATACTAATAGTCAACTTTTACTAAGGTTAGGGCACCATGGAAAATTTTAATTGAAAAAAGGCACTGCGACTAAGAAAAACTTTGGGAAACACTGCACAGTTCTACAAAAAAATGTCCAGCATTTTGTTTGTTTGGATTCATTCTGTGGTTAACCCCCGCCTCACTTGAAATGGTTATTCGATAAGTTTTATAATATTCTGTTTATTTCCTAGGAATTAAAAGCAGCAGTGAAGGGGATGGTCACTTCAACTCACTTGCTATTATTTATCCCAAAACTATTGAGATGTCAATGGCAGTCTATCTTCCTTAGAAGTATCTTCACCTGTTAATCATTGTTCATTCATTCATTAGCACCTTTCTGTCTTTCTAGACGATAGTGTTATATTGTGCTATGAGGAGAATGGGACTCACAGCCCATAGCGATAGCGAGTGTGACTAGGAAGACCCGCCCGTGTTAAGAAAAGTCCTCCACAGTTATAGAATGGGATTTCAGGACTGTTGATGTCAACATTTTTATTTAATTTGTTTCTTCTCAGATGCTCAGCTCTCATCCTTTCTGCAGTAATGTCTTCCTTCATTCTCCTCCTTATGTGCTCCCTCCATACAACACGGTCCGTGGCATCCTGCTCCCATGCGTCCACCTTAATACCTGTATCATTCATGTCCCGCTTGCACACATCTTTATATCGTAGTAGAGGCCAGCCTCAACATCTTCAACCCCATAGGGGATGTCCTTAAGGACTCTTCCATCCTCCATTCTCCAGATGTGATCAACCCATCTGAGCCTTTGTAGACTAAGCATTGAGAAAACTTTTGCAGTACCTGCTCTTTAATTATTAATTATAAATACATGCTAACCGTCTAGTGTTCTTTGAAAAACAGTCAGTTTGAAAGATTTATATTTCTACCAAGGAGTGTGAAAGATATCTATAGTTTTCCATGTTGTAGTAGGTAGGTTTGTAATGCTTTTACCCTTTCGCTATAGGGGAACAAAACAAAAAAACACACACACACACACACACAAAATAGGTCATGACCGCATTCAAATTCCAGTAAAAATTTTTTTTTAATTAAAAAAAAACTTTTTTTTAATTAAAAGAAATAATTTCAAATTAAATTTTACACAGGTAACTGTTAAATTCATGAAAATATATTTATTTTCATTTGAAACTTATATAAATTAAAGGAGTAGCAGTAAACACAAACAGGGTAAGCATTAAATGGAATTCATCTCAGGGGACTTAATAAAAATACATATATCAGGTGACTTATACTATGACCTTTATCTCTATGAGGCTTACAGGAAACTCTGACATCAACTTGGCTTTAAAAAGCCATAATAATCCTTCCTTCCTGAAAATTGTAATTTATGACTTCGAATTTAACACACAAAAAAACTGCTTTCTATATTTGCTTTTGTTTCATCTTTGGTTAGCTAACCTAAACCAGTCATCCACTTGTGGGATGCAGTTTTTTGTTATTTGAATCCCCACCCAGGCTCTTGCCGGGTGCCGCAGTATAGCCCGGCCATAAATATGGTTAAATGGCTGAATGCGGTTTCTATGACCTCTCCACTGTGATCATTATCCACATGGTGGCACTTTGTGTCATCGGGTGTTTATTGCTTGTGTGATGTCCTAGTGTAAAATGTACTACTACTACTACTACTTTTGTTAGCTGTCAGGTTAGCTGGCTGAGAAACAGTTTCCTGTTTTTTGGTGGACAGTGGGTGTAAAAATGTTGAGAAGAAACACTGCCCTAGAGGTATGCTCATCCAGAGTTGCATTTGTTCAGTTGTCACTCTTCCACCAGCTTGTTCAGTCATGGTTTAACTCAGGTGGTTAACCAAAGAACTAGTCTGAATATCACTGGTCTCAAAGATCATCATCATGTACCATCCTGAGGAAGTTAGGCAGTCATGGCTCACTATGTCACGCTATTATCAGAACCAGAAATAGGTCAGTGTTTCTTTCCTGCCCATGTTTTTGTATAGACAAACTATTCAAGTATGTATCTCTTTGCCTGCTTTTTTTGCCTAGAAAATCGCTAATATATTAATTGAATTTTTTTGTTTTTGTTTTTTGTGTTTTTTTGTTTGTTTGTTAAATTAAAAAAAAAATATTAATTAATCTTACTTACTTACTTAGTCGCTCCTCTTCTACCTTGAGGTATAGCGGTTTGCCAGAGAGATCGCCAGACGTCTCTGTCTGCAGTTTTCTTTCTGGCTTTGTTCCATTCCAGTCCTCTGTCAGTTAGCGACTGTCTGATTTTGTCTTCCTAGGGGACCCTTGGTCGTCATTTAGGTCTGGTTCCCTGGTTCTTAGCCTCACATGCCTGCCGATTTTCTCCCATTCTGCATACTGTCCAAACTATCATACTGTGACTGATCCACTCGGGTTTGTAATGACTGGGTATCAAGATCTTGACGTATTGTCTGATTGCGGACTTGGTCCATTCTGGTCACTTGGACCACCTTTCTCAGATATATCATTTATGAGGCCTGAAGCTGGCTTCTGTGAGCTGTTGTTACTGCCTATGATTCACACCCATAGGTCAGGATTGGTAGAGCGGTAAACAGCCATTTTTTCGTCTTCTTGCCAGTCTCTTTTTTGCTAAGAAATCCTTGGTTTATAGCCTGGAAGAGTCTCCTAGCAGCTGCTTTTCATGAGCCAGCTCAGTCATAACGCCTCCGTTTGGGTCTAATACAACTCCAAGGTATTTGAACTGGTTGACCTGCTCCAGTGCATACTGTCCCATCATGATCTGATGTTTCTTCTCCTCTCTTGAGATCACCATGGTTTTAGTGATACTGATGGTCATCCCTCTCTTCACAAGCACTTCCTGCCAGACAAGTAAGTTGGACTGAAGGTGTGCCTCTGATTTAGTTATCAGGGCCACATCGTCTGCAAATGCCAGTTCTGATACACAGATTGATCTTATCTTCCGGTACCATACAGAGTACTTCTTTGTCTTCTCCTTACAGGTCTTGATGACATCAAATCATCATAAGAATGAAGAGGTAAGGTGAGCGAATATCACCTTGTCTAGCACCGCTAGTTGTCTTAAATTCTTCTGACTTTTGGTCTTCTGTTCTTACATAATTTCTGCAGCTTTTGTAGAAACTCTGTATTGCACTGATCAGGAGTGCTGGGATGTATTTTCCTGCCAAGCAGTCCCAGAGCTTGCTCCTGGGTACCTTATCAAATGCCTTTTCTAGATTAAAAAAACAGGTGCATCTCACCCTTATATTCAAGAGCTAAAATTAATAAATAATAAAATTAAAACATGGATGTTTTGGTTATGATCTGTCTTGATGTGGTAGTAATTGGTTGTGTCTTTTATCCTCAGAAAACATCCCAAAACAACATAAATCTGAGTATCCCCTGAAAAATTCTATTGGTTGAATTTTATATTGACTGCGATGAAAACATTGTAGCACAGTGTCACAGTTACTTGCTGCAAGTATGTCTGATGATACGGAGGAAGTTGTGAAAGTGCTCTATGATTATAAATATTCTGATGATACCGGCCATGTAGAAATAAAAACTGGTGACATATACAGGTTGATTGAGAAAACGAACAACGAGTGGTGGCAGGTGTACGATCCATCTGATGCAGACGGAGAATCTTTCTTTGTACCAGCCAAGTATGTGAAAATTGTTTCTGAGAAAAGTCCATGGAAAACTATTTCTGATTTAGATAAATTATTAACATTTGGTGTGAATTTGGATACGTCTGAAAATCTTTCAGAAACAGAGGAAGAGGAAGATACCTTTAGAGATTCTGTTTTTAAAGAGTCAAGTGAATCAAATGGCTTAGAGTCAAAGAAACAGTCTCAGGAAGAAAATATAGAAGCTGATTATGCAAATGTTCCATACAAACCACCTGATGCTGGAGATGATGGAGAGTATGTTAATTTGGATCAGTTTAGGGATGCGGCTGGTATTCCCATTCTGGTGAGTATTTTACAAAATATTTTTTATCATTAGCTAAGAGCTTATTTCAAAAATAATATATTTTACTCATGTGGTAAATGCAAATATATACAGCATTGTTAGTGTATTTTCCCTCAGCAGATCTGCATGATTTGTCACTAAATTAGAACTTGACAAGATAAAACTATTATCATAATCTTGTACTTTATCAGACTGCAAAAGCATTTATGTCTCTCTGTGGAACTCTGTCCTATGTGTCTTTATCGGTATGGGTCCAAAAGGACAGTGGGTCTTAATCTGTACCCCATAGTTTGTCCTGTAGGATCACTCCTGCGGGTCACATTTCTTCTCTCTGACTTGCAAAGTCTGGGTAGTACTGTAAGACATGCCACAGGTGGCAGAAGACCCGTCTGCCTCTCCATTTCCAGACACCACAGTGAACCAATATCCACTGCAGAATCAGCTCTGTTCTTATAGACAGCATTCTGATGTTATTTTTTAATTTTATGATGATGTTGTTCTGGATAAACTAGATTGATGATATTCTTCCTGAGACCATCCAGCATCATTTCCCTTTGTCTGATTTTGCCTGTTCAGTTACCAGTCTTTCCAGTTGTCATGTTGTTCTCCAAATCTTTCTCCTAATAAACTCGTTAAAGAACAGTGTCTCTTTATTATAGTTATGAGTAAGGTTCTGCTTTTTTTAGGCAGTGATTATTAGTTACTGTAATTGCTGAAGTTAATGGGCATGGCGACATGATGATGATGGCCATAATATGAAGATATTTGACAAAACACATTAACTTTTGTATATTCTCTGATGCATGACCAACTTGAAGAAAGTCTCATCATATCCAAATCTCTTTCTCTATCCTACTGTTCAGACTAGAGAAGCTGAAAACTTACTTTGTTCAGCCATTGGTTAGATAAAAAAAGTGGCGACACATTTAATAAAGCAAGCCCTTATGTTGACTCAAGAGTAGGCACCGTGGAATTGCTGTACCCTTATTTCCACCCAAAATTAACATTGACATTAAAAATGATGTCTTTTTTCTTTAATTCTGTCTTTACATTTGTATGTATCTCTCTTCTTAGCCTTATTTCAGATCTGACTTATTTGTATGCAAACAGTCGGTTCCTTCCCTCTCAGGCAGATGCACTCTGACTTCGAATAAAACACCACTGATTAGTTGCCTCCTGTGACATGCTTGTGGGAAAGGCAGGGGTGCAGTGGGTATTCTTTACTCTACAAAGTTAAGTCCTGAAACCCACATGTGGATGTGCATTATATAATCCTTAAGCTTAGTGTCAGCAGCCATCCCCTAGTTCTTGAAAAAAAAACTACAAAAATCCCTGTATGGAAATACAAGCTTCACATTTTCAGCGTCGCAGTGTTTGGCTGTTGTGGACATGTGCGTATGTCTGGAACAAAAAGCTCAAAGCTAGTTAGAGAAAGCACTGTCGCTTATGCAGTGCCAGTCCTTTTGTGCAAGTGCAAAGAATATTTTTCTTTTCTTGGCTCAGCATGTCAAAAAGTAATTGGCAAATTTCCAGGATCAAGAACCGCCTCTTCTCACCACCTTTGTTACCTGTCCATATCGACATCCTAGCACGCCGGTCTGACCGATGCCTGCTTGGTCCTCTGATACAGCAGCCATCATAGTGCTTCCACACTCAGCCCACTCAGTAGGAGTTTATTTATATTAGTTTATTGTTCTTTCTTTACCCTACAACTGGTTTCTGCATGTTTGTCCTCGTTTACTACCTATTTCCAACAGTCGGTCATTGTCTCTGACTCCTTCGTCCAAAAGCCTCTATAATGCAGCACACTCAGTATGTCTACCCTGTCCATACTTCTTCCTCCACCAACTGGTTATTATCAACCCATTCGAATTGGAGTTTGTCAGTTTGGATTTTCTTAAACATGCTAATTGAGTCTGTGGGAGAATGAAATAGACCCACTCCCCCCTATCGAGCATATCATGCAAGCCAACTTATTAGAGGTGTGTCCTTTAAAGTCAGAGTGCATCTGCCTCAGAGGTGAGGAACCCAAAGTCTGCATATAAATAAGCCAGATCTGTAAAATGGATGTACACGCACAATTTGTTTTAGATCAAGACGAAAGTCCAGAAGTGGGTGAACAACCAAGAGTTTCCACCAGTTTACAGTGGGGAATGCCAAGAAGAAGAAGTAGTATTATGGATATTAAAAAATAAAAATAGTTTTTTTTTATTCTGTTTTTGTTTTGCAGAAAGCTGATGGTGTTTTGGGATCTAGTGAGGCCATTTCTCCTTCAGACACATTAACAGACTTGTCTGAAACATCACAAGAACTCATTCAAGGGTCTGTACCCCCACCTTTGCCTGGGGAAGGAAAGTTTATCAGAGTTCTTATGAAAGACCAGCCATGGGATATATATAAGGAAAATGTTTTAGGAAGATTATATTTTGTTAATCGAGAAACAGGAGAGAGAGCGTGGAAGCCCCCAAGAAAGATTGCTTCACCCTTAGACCAGGTCAGATATGCTTGATTCTGAAAGTTATAATGAAGTTATTGTAGTTTGTTGTTTATAATTGCGTTTCTGACAGGCTGTGGCCTAAGGATTATGAAGGCTCTTTCACAATCTTGACATACTAGAGGGAAATCAGCTGAAAACAATTTTTAGCAGACTGTTCTGCATTTATTTTGATAATGGTATGAGCACCATTCTGTTCTGAAAGCAGTGACAAACTATAAACATAATTGTGCCTACAATCGGGACGGCTGACAGTTATAACAAATGTTTGATGAATTCAGATGGGTGTCTTGTAATCATAGTTTAAGGCAAACAGGTGATTGGCCTGTTGTGCCTTTTCATGGTGGAGGAGCTGCCTCCTAACGGCCTCCATGTAGGCCGTCTGGCCGATTCATGGTTACCCACTATTTCCGCAGACGCATGAAGCACTCAGGTTCAACCAGACCTTCCTCCTTTTACAGCCGGGCTTGGGACCAGTCTTAGTGGAGTTAAGTCTTAGAGGACTGGAATGGAACAAAGCCAGAAAGAAAACTGCTGATAGAGACATCTGGCAATCTTTCTGTCAAACCTCTACACCCCAAGGTAGAAGAGTAGCGACTAAGTAAGTAAGTAATTCAGATGGGTCACCTGAAAGATGCAGATATTGCAGCTATTCTGTAAACAGGCACAGCAGTTATGTCACTCGGACAAATGAAAAACAAGAAATTACTTAGAAAATCACACAAGTCCAGCCAGTAAATGCCACAGTTAGTTTGCAAAGTCCTGTAAAATAATTTCGACCCCTTTTTGTGTTTATCAGCTGATGTACACAGTAATTGGCTTAAATTGGCAGTAATATTACAAATGATGGTGAAAAGTGTTGATGATTTATTAACTCTTGTCAGTTAAGTTGTGATTCCATTATTCTTCTGTACTGAAGAATATGGTGTTTGCTAATTAAATAAATATCATTATAGACCCATGAGTTCCAATTGGTCTATAATATATAGGTATAGCCCTATATACTCAATACATCTACAGCTTAAAGACATGGAGAATGGTGTGTCTTTACTTTATTTATCTTGTAGACCCCTTGGTCCTCAGTACATGTGTATTGGAGAATTCTGATTAGTTCAGCCACAACAGTCACTCAACTTTTATTTGTTCATTTTGTACAGTAAGTAAAGTAATTCAGTAATTCTGTATCCTGTTATGCCTTTATATGTCACGTAGGGCTCACAAACCGTTCCTCCATTATGTTCTGTCTTCTGCAATCAGTTCAATATCATGGATGGAATCCAGTCCAGCTGCTTTGGCCCCTCTCATCAGCCTTCGTCTTAGGGTTTCTTTTGGGCATCCTCGGCTCCTTAATCCCCCTAATCACCCATTTTATTGTTTGTTTGGTGATTCTCAGGATGTGTCCAATGTAGCTCCATCTTCTCTGAAATTATAGCTGTTGGTGCCAGTGGTTATCCAGACATTCGTTTTATTCTTGGTTCTAAAACTATCATTTAGAGTCCCATATTTTGTTCAATCTATTGGGCATATGGGAGTCGCCATGGCATTTGCGGCTAGACACCCGCCTGCGCATCGGAAGGTCGTAGGTTTGTGCCCTGACGGAGGCAGATTTTGTTTTCAAAATGAACTTGACTCCCAGGTCGACCCAGCCTTGAGTGGGTACCAAGTGCCGTCGTGGAAAGTAAAGGCGGCCGGCATGATGCTGACCACATCACCTACCAAGTGCTGATCGGTCTATAAAAATATAGGTCTAGCTCTATTTTTCCAGTAGGCCTAAAGGCATGGAAAAAAGACCTTAATATAGGGCATATGATGCTGACTCATGTTTTTGTAGACCAGTCGGCACTCAGTGCGTAATGCATATAGAAAGATGGATAAATATTCTCATGTAATGAGGAACCACTAGCTAAGCAGTTGAGAATGCTGGGCTCTCCTGCGGTAGACCCATACTTGACTTGAATTTTCTTCTTGTTGTCAGGGGCAAAAATAAAATCCTAACCTATACAGTCTGTTACAGCTGCACTAGCCATTCGGCCCTAAATCCTCAGACTCTAGACTCCCCTTGCCCTAAAAAGTAGTGATTGCAGGCGGTAAAGACAGTTTTCCATAGAACATGAGGCATCTAAGTAAGAATATACCTGAGAACTTACCTCGCCATCATGTAAGTTATAAATGAATTTGTATTGTTTTATCTGAGAAATACAATTGCTGATTGTTAGTGTACATTCTTGTCTGCCACAGTTAAAGCCTGCGCAGCCTGTTCAGTCACCCAGGCTTCCAGAGATTATTACATCAGGAAGTCACTCATGTGTAGCACTCAATGAAGACTGGGTAGGGATTCCGTCAGAGTATGAGCAGGTGCATGATAATGGCAGTGTATATTTTATCCACAAGGCTACACAAGATAAGGTATTGTAGACAAGTCTTTTCTTCCTTTTTATACATTTTGTCAGCATGATTCCGTGTACACTGGTGTTTGAATGAAAAAAGACATTTGTTCATTATCTCGTTCCATGCAGAGTGGCATGCATCAAATCAGAAGTCCCAGGTAGTTAGCGTCCTTTGTTTTGTACATAGATGGCCTGTTCTTTTCGACTTGGTGGTGAAATTGATGTATCACAAGCTAGATGTTGTGAGGGCCCTTTGGGAGTGAGTGAACAGTACAGAGGCACAAATAGCACTGTGAGGAGTAACCAGAGGATCTGCCTGGCACTCAAAACTCAAGAGAAGAGCGAGACGGATATACAATCAGACAGTTACTGGTGCCATTGGAATTTGAATTCTTTGCTTGCTGCTGAAGATGGGGAGGGAGTACATATGGAGGTGTCCCAAGTGCTATGATGTCGATTTTTAATTCAACATTCATTCCCTTCAGTTTGGATTTGAGTGTCAATGAGTTGATATTCTCTAATGATCATGCCCTCTTATACAAAGATAGAGGTAACCTCCAACACCACATAAACGGCCCCAAAGAAGTATAAAATGAAAATAAATACTGAAAAACCCAGAAATAATGACAGTAAATAGAACACCAGTTCAACCTGTCATTATTGTTGAAGGAGAGATATTAAAACAAGCAAAGGAGTTTAAGTATCTAGGCAGTGTATTCACAGAGGATGGAGAAATAGAAAACAGAATATAGGCCAACAACAAAAATTACCAGATAGTCCCACTCTTGAGGCATCAAAGTATCAACATGCACACAGAAAAGCAGCTGATAAATGTGCTATTTGTACAATTTGTTCTATCAGTGCCAGACATGGACAGTCCTAGAAAAACATAGAGGCACAATTACAACATGTGATATGAGATGAGGGGGGGGGGGGACAAGAACAGACAGAGGCACCAATGAAGACTAAGAACAATAGTAGGCAATGTACCAGTGAATGATTTCATAGAACATCAAAGAATCAAATGGTTTGGTCATCTGGTCAGAATGGAACAAAATCAGCCAGCTGCTAGAGCATACTACATTAGAACAGAAGGCTACAAGGCAAGAAGCTGATCAAGAAAGAGATGGGCTGAGAAGTGAAACAAAAAAAGAAAAGATTTCAGAAGCACAATATGACATTAACACAAGCTACGTAGCAAGAACTCACTTTTGTGTATACACGGCGAGAGCTACTTCCCCTCCCATTCATGACATGGCCAGTCACAGGGCCTGTCCTATGTTGTTAGGGTTTGATGATATAGCTTTGTTTTTGCATTTGCTCGACGTATACAATGTTTGTTGGAGGTTGCATTGTCGTGAGTTTCTTTGAGGCGCTGCGGGCGCATGTGTATGAGAAAGAAGGGTGAAGCACTGCAGGCATTTGGCGGTGGCTTTCACTGCAGAATAAAAAGCCACTGCCAAGGAAAGTAGAAATACAAAAACATTCCACTTTCGCTACTGATAGACCATTGTGCAAGTAGGACAATGTGCCAGTAATCTCACATGTGAGCTGTGACAACATGAGAAAAGAGAGAACAGTTCAACCATTAAAAATAAGGAATAGATAACACCCCCACAATATACGACAAGCCCTGTGACCGCGGCATTAATAGGACAGGAAATAACTCTTGCAATAGGGACAATAACGTGAACCACTGAGTCACCAGCAAAAGACAGGAAACTATGGATAACCCCTCTTTGTGACACTTTGTGGCATAAGCAGTTAGACGGAAGAAGAAGAAGAAGAATAAGCCAGTCACAAATTAACAGGTAACTGGAAATGTTGCAAACTTGAGATGCATTAGCTACATAATTAATAGGCAGACCAGAAGAAAAGTGGCTATAGCTGTGGAGAGGTTAAAAAAATTTTTTTTCAAGCCCAAACTGAAGCTTATAGTTCAAGGCAGGCAAGAGGAAAACATTGTCAGAAGTTGAATGAAAAAATAATTTGTCCGAATATACAGCCAGCATGAGACAGAAGGTATTGGAGATCCATTACATCGAAGTTCCACTTGGAACGTGAACACCTGACTTGTATAGTAAAAATGTTGTAGTTTCTGATATCACATTATTAGTTTTAGTGGTCCATTTTGATTTCAACTATCCAAGCAGTGACTTTGCTGACACTGTCAGATATACAGCTCAGTTAAAAAATGAATCCTTCAGTCATACATCTGGCCAGTCACATTGTATGATTATGAAATATTTTCCGTGAATGTACACCATACAACCTTCAGCATAGTGACTAGGCACTTGCCCGCCACCCTGAAGGTATAAGTTCAGATATGCATCAAGGCAAATCTTTTTAGAAATTGACCTTGACTTCCGGGTTGACCTTGCCTAAAATAGGTACCAAAGGATGTCCTGAACAGAAGTAAAAGACGTCACCCACTGAGTACCAATTTGTCTATAAAAGTATGGGTATAGCATCATATGACCGATGTGTTACTGGCATATAAAGGGTCTTTACTTAAAAGAAAAACCTATATCTGATGAAAAACATATTAACTCTTTTAGCATGAAGCAACTTACCATGCATTGATTGCTCCAAGTCGCTGTGTGAGTTTTTGGGTCCTGTTATGGGAAGAACAAGAATAGACCCACTGCTTTCCCAACAAGTATGTCATAAGAGTCGACTAATTGTGGGCATCCTTCAGAGTCAGAACGCATCCGCCTGAGAGGCAAGGAACCAACATACAAATAATCCAGATCTGTAAAATGGGTGTGCATGCAACACACGGGTTCTGGAACAAGACTAAAATCTGGAGGAGGGCGAACAACCAGAAATTTCCACTGAAGTTTACAGCTGGTGAATGCAAAAAGAAAGAAGATACACTGCATTTGATTCTTACTTTCTTTAATGTCTTTATATTACCCATTCTATCCCCATTGTTACGTTGAATCCTTCTATCTTGTAGCCTTTAACTCATGTTTCTATTGAGTACACAATCTTTAGGGTTGAAAAACTTATAAGAACTATTTGGAACTTAAAGAACAGAGTAAAGGCGTTTGAGATGTGGGTGAACATAACGTACATTTCCCCAAACAGAGTTAACCCCACCCATTTACACACTCGGTCACTTTTCATTCACAAGTTTATTAGACTGTTTGACTTGCTTAAGGTTACGGGTGTGTCCCGCTCCATTGTTGTCATTCAGAGAAAGAGAATGCCTGTGACATAGGTTGCCATACTTGCGGGGCGGGGGGTGCTAGGGCAAGTGCTCCACGTTTTTGGAGCGTTAAAAATGCTGGCGTGCTGAAATATACAACATGCGATATCAACAGCATCGCAGAACACCCTGTAACCCTGCTCCATGGTGACTGGTTCAGGAACTACCAATCAGAAGTGACCTAGTATGTGTTTGAGCGAGGCACGGGGAGATTAATGTTACATTTACCAAGATGTGTCAACAACTAATTTAAAAAAATGTGTAGATTTTCTAATTGACAAATGAACAAAGTCTTGAAAAAAAATATAGCACACAGAAGACTTTATAAAATAATCAGAAAACAAATTCTGGCATGGCTTGGTCAAATCAAAAGACAGGGAGAAACAGCAAAGAGATTATTATAAGGCGCAGTACTAGAAAATAGAGGAAGACCAAAGACACCATTTACATAATAGACATGCATAGATCAGTTAATGCAGGCTTATGTAGAATTAAAGTGAACAAACCAAGCCAGATGCCTGTGTAATAGAATTATCACAACCAGCTCAGAGGATCAAATAATGGTGATGATGTCAGGGCTAAAAATATTTGGTCTCTAGGCTTCATCTGCAGTCTCTTACTATTACAATAACAGCTGTTACTGTTATATATACTGATTTGCAGTTAATACCACAGATTGGCATTTATGTGTATCTGTGTATGTGCATGTAGGTAGGTTCATGTGTGTGTGTGTGTATATATATATATATATATATATATATATATATATATATATATATATATATATATATATATATATGTGTGTGTGTGTGTGTGTGTATGAATGAATGAGTTATTGCATGCAGGAGACTGCATGCCCTCATATGCAAGGCTGTATTTGTTGGTTCCATTTAAAAACTTTAAGCATGAAGGTTGTTAGTAATTCTTTAAAGTGCACTAGAAAAGTAAGCTTAACAGTAATATATGTGAGCAAATGAAGTAATTTGTTGTGGGGTATACTTGATTTATAAACATTATTGTGTCATGAGCAAGTAGTTTGCTGACAGAAATAATGTCCTTAACTCTTTGGTTACCAAGCAACCCATCCTGTGTTCATTAGATGTTAAAGACAGTGAAAATTTACGTCTCTCTTTTATCACACATGTTGTTACATTAACACATTATACCAGGTTTGTTAGTTTTACTCCTTCTACTCCTGAATTTTTAAATTTCTGTTTTAATCCCCCATGGACTCAAACATTTAAACTAGAACTTTTCAGGATAGAAAAGTTAAATGTAATCTTCTTCTTTTTCTTCATCTATTTCTTAGCATTCACCGGTTTTAAATTCTGGCTGAAAGTTCAGGTTGTTCATTCACTTGGATTTCGGTCTTGTTTTTGAACTTAAGTTGTGCATGCACATTCGTTTTATAAATCTGGTTTACTTGTAAGCAGACTGTTGGTTCCTCACCTCTCAGGCATATACACTTCAACTTCAAAGGATACACCCATAATAATTTGCCTTTTACGAGATGGTTATTGGGGGGGGGGGGGGGGGGGGGGCAGGGCAGGGGGGGGGGGGGGGGGGGGGGGGGGGGGGGGGGGGGGGGGGGGGGGGGGGGGGGGGGGGGGGGGGGGGTGGGGGGGGGTTGGGGGGGGGGGGTGGGGGGGGGTGGGGGGGGGGGGGGGGGGGGGGGGGGGGGGGGGGGGGGGGGGGGGGGGGGGGGGGGGGGGGGGGGGGGGGGGGGGGGGGGGGGGGGGGGGGGGGGGGGGGGGGGGGGGGGGGGGGGGGGGGGGGGGGGGGGGGGGGGGGGGGGGGGGGGGGGGTACTGTACCTGTAGGTCCCCAACAGTGGGACCAGAATCCACACAGTTAAATGTAATCAGAGGCATGTACTGGCAGAGTTAAAGTGTGGAAAAACTGTGGAATAACTGATTGAATAAAATGCAGTGATAAGATAATATATCAATTCTTTTACAGTCCGGAAATGAAACGATAGTTATTAGATACTAATTGTTTAAATCATATTTTAAAAAAGGTAGCGTAGTACACCGATAACAGCGGGACAATGGCATCAGGATAGAGAGAAAATTAGAATCCAGACATCGTCATAACAGCAAGACATTGTTTCTCCCAGAAGCTTGTCATGTTCACTTTTTCAATATCATCTTTCCAGCACATTTTCATTCTTCCCTTTTTGTGTTTTTCTATTTGTTGTTAATGATACTAAGTAGGCAACCCTGTGAATCTTCACACATGATTATAGATCTTATAGACCTTCACACATAATTATAGATCTCCATAAATGATTAGAGATCTGTAGATCTTCACACATGATTATAGCTCTTATAGATCTTTCATAATTCATTGGTTGGGAGTTTTGATTTCTGATATGTTGTAGCTGATTCTCTTTCCTCTTCTTTTTCTTCTTCTTCTAGTTCCTCCTTCTCCTTTTCTGTCTCCTTCTTCTGCTGATGCTGCTGCTTCAAGTTCACTGGCTGTAAACTCTGTCAGGAAGTCCTAGTTGTTCATCTACATCTAGATTATGATTTTGTTGCAGGACTTGAATGTTGCATGCACATCTGTTTTGCAGATCTGGCTTTTGTGTGAGCATTATATTGGCTCCTAGCCTCTCAGGCAAATGCATTCTGACTTTAAATGGGGATCCTATCTATGTCCGCCAGGCTCCTGGTTGGGAACCTGTCTCTAGCAAGACCGTTAAGAGATGTAGATAGTTTAAAAGCTGTATCTGTTTCAGAACCATGTCTTCTGATTACCTTCTAACATTTAGCAAAAAAAATTTGCTTTGAATTTATACAAAAATGTGTTTGTGGAAGCGCTGCATCAGCTTCACCTCATACAGTGTTAACTAGGCATACTTACTCATAAAAGCAAAGATATTTAACTCTTTGGGTGCCAGGGAAACAGATAGTGTATTGATTTATAACTAATTTAAATGACCTCTGGTACCGGAAGAGTTGAGAAATTGGCCTGTACTCCCACCCTAAAATAAACACAAGAATATTTTCTGGATAGTAAAAAATGGCATACAGAATATAGACCACATTGCTCATCAGGTACCAGTAGGCCTAAAAATATGCGGCTGGCTCCATATACGCAACTGTAGCTGCCATTGGTGTAGTGGCTAGATTGATCGCCTGTTGATCTGAAGGTCGTGAGTTCAGATCCACATAGAGTTGGATTTCTTCACACATGACCTTGGCTCCTAGGTCAGCTCAGCCTTAAACGGGAGCTGGTGAAGTATGGGGAAGTAAAGACAGCCAGGGTGGTGTTGACCATATCACCCAACTCAAGTCGTGCAACAAGACCAGAGTTTAGAAGTGGATGAATAACAAGGACTTTCTGTCAGATTTTACAGCATGTGAACTCGAAGAAAAAGCAGAAGAAGAGAAGAGGAGGAGGAAGAAAAAGACTATTGGTCTATAAAAAAAATGAGTCAAGCCTCTTATGCCTTTACTTACTTTTACTTTACCATATACCCGGTATGCTTTATGGCCATACTGTCTCTTGATTAATTTACTCAATATGTCACGTCTTCAAATGGTTAGCCCTTCTGTTTATTTTAGGAATGAATACACACCGGATTCCTACCAGATCAAAATACCTTTCTGAAATGGTTTGTTGTATTCTATAAAGGTAAGTCCTACTGTGTACGTTAAATGTTGCTGTGATGTTGATTTGACATTTGTCCTCCAATATAATGCCAAATTATGGTTGCAATTCAATTCATGCACGAATTGAATTCTAGTCCGTATTGCCATCGTCCGTGAATTTTCAGCTTACATAGACTTGGCCACATGAGCACCTTTTTTTTGGGGCGTGCCGGTGCAAGTTAAACCAGTTGTCTTAGTGCACTTGTACATGGCCGCAGAATAATATTGCAGGTGACAAGGGTTCAGTGGCACGGGTAACTATAGCTTTCGATTTTTATGTTGTCTAGCGTGTTCAATATCTTTCACAATCTCTATGAGTGCCAGTTCACAATACAGTTACTTGACAATTCATACTATTTAACGGCCCTCAAATGGGTCCCTGATGTTTATTTATAGGAATTTATTAACAACACCACTGGAATTTCCAGTCAAATACCTTTCTGCACTGTTTTGTGTATCTAGACAAGGCAGATTCTAAGTGGAAACGTACCTGTTATGTTGTGACTGGTAATTTGGGCGTCATTTGCCTTTAACTAAATTTTCTGTAAAGTGTGGTGCATTTCAATGGGTGAATTATTCTGCCGTCATTCCATAGTTCGTGGAATTTCAAGCTGATCGATAACCTGGCCGATTCAGAGACCCACTATTTTTTGGGGGTTGCCGAGTTCCATGTATTTAGTGTTGTATTTCATGGCGAGGCGCAGACGACGTCTGGAGGTGACAGGTTCATTCCCGGCACGGTAACTATAGCTTTCGATTTTGTATGTTGTTCTACTGTGTCTTCTATCTTTCTACTTCTTTCTATGAGTGCCGTTCACAATACTTTCTGTTACTTGATTAATTCATAATATTTAACGGCCTCAAATGGTTCCCCTCTCTGTTTATTTATAGGAATGCCTTATGACATAAGGTCGTTCACTTTACTCATATGTCAAGTCTTCAGTCAGCATTGAGCCAGATTTTTGGAGGGAAAAACATTCCTCCCAGGTCAGCCCGATCTGAAATGGGTGCCAGGTAAAGTCCTGGGTGACTGGCGTGATGTTGAACACATCACCCACTGAATGCCAATTGGTCAAGCACAATATGCCTAATCGCCCAGAAAAGGGTCAAATCCTTACCATATTAGCACTAGTTTTGTGAGTTAATTTGTCTTGCTTTACATGGCACTGAATAATATTGCATTCTTTCAGTGGAAGACCTTAGTTGACAAAGTAGGCCGTCAATATTTTCACAAACTCGGCTCCAGTGACACACAGTGGACACTTCCCTCGGCCCCTGATGTCCCTGATAAAGAAAATCTTTTAAGAACCACTGAATTTCCAGTCCAGGTATTCTGCACTGTAGTGTTCAGTAACAGATTCATGTAAACACCTGTTATGTAAATAATCAAACAACTTAACTAATTGTAAAGTGTACTGCATTTTAAATAATTATTCATGTTATGTAAGTAATAAAATAACCTGCTTTCAAGTATTTTGGATTTCATACCTTGTTATTATGCAAATAATAAAGCAACCAGTTTTCAGATGCACTGGATTTTATAGAATATTTCTTATATATATATATATATTAACAACTTAACCAGTTTCCAATTGTACTGGATTTTTATAAATTATATCTTGTGCGTACATTTACACTATAAAACATAATAGTCTTTCAGAAATGAAATGGGTGTAATTTAATATATACTGAAAAATAATGTAGAAAAGAGTGAATGAAGTTTGTAATATAAATAAATATAAATATAATTTTTAACTGGTCTTAGAATACATGGGTGTTTAGATTTAATTGTCTTAACGATTATTATAATAAAAAATTCCAGTCATAATCAAGAATTTCCTGTTGCTTTTAAAATATATTTGCTCTTTCATTAACTGATTAAATTGTAAATAATGTCACAAAAGATTCCTGCTGGTGCATACATTAGCAGTATCAGTTACTGTTTAACAGAGAGAGAGATTGTGTGTGTGTGTGTGTTAGTCAGTGGTTGAGTGAGTGAGTGAGAGTGACTGAGTGAGTGAGAGAGAGAGAATTTGTTTAAGATCGCGGAAACAAATTCTAAATCAGTATATCACGGGATGAACAGTGTTCTTTGTAATATATTTTTATCAATTGGAGTGAGAGAAAAAAAAAAGAGTTCTCAAGAGATATATAGAGCTAGTTTTTATATCTGGTAATCTGGTAATCTTAGTTTCAGCTTCATAGCAAACGGGTCACCCCATAGTTGCTCCGCTTCTGTGCCAACGAAAAATACACAAAATGTTTATCACAGTTCAAATTAAATCTGCAGCTCACAGTGTCATGCTATGCACTCAGCTCAGAAGCTGGGCAACGAAACTATATCCTTCCAGTCTACAAATGGAGCAAAAAATGCAACGACCACCGCCTGGCAGGGGCAAACTAATTTGTCGCAGCTAAAAAAAAGTGGCCTTGCCTAGCGTTCATTTTGACCTGAAGCATTTTATGAGGGTTAATAAACAGTCACCCCAGCAGTACCCTCACTATTAGCTGGGAAAGGGACTTAGGACATTACATCCACCAGCAAGTGTCACCTCTACAAAGACCAGACTGCCTTCAATAACGACTGTTCACCCAACAGCCATGCAGTTCTTTGGCACGAAGGAGACACCTTGAACTTGAGTTTCGGACTGCCGACTCCTTACAAGATGTTATGTTATCACAAGCGACGTCACTGCACATTGGGCATTCCCGTGCGTGCTCAGTCCTCCAATGCCAGTTTTGATGAAATGGAAGTGAATCATGGCACTCAGCAAATTAGTGAGAAATTATGTGAAAGATTCTGAGCGGTAGTTTACCTTAAATTATTTAGAAAATCTTTCCATTACTTTACTGTCCTGCAATATTTGTTTTTGCTTCTAACTTACATTTAAACAGTTCAGTCAAAATATCATTAGCAAGTCCTACATTTTTGTATTAATTACCTGAAAATATATTAAAGATTGTTTTACATTAATTCTGTATATGTCCTGCAGTTAATTTGTTGAATTATTTGCATGTTTCCTGTAACATTCTAGATAACTGCTAATATCTGTCTCTGATTTTGTTTGTGCATACATGTATTTGTCTAGTTTCATATTTTCATTGACTAGGGAGAGCACAAGTTATATTGCCAGTATTTTATTGAACGACTAGACTCAAGAACTTTTCAACAACTGGCCAGGTTGATAGAAAAAGGGCAAGGGAAAGGCAAAGAGATAAATACCCACATGGTTTAGCTATAGGGATTGGAGCAAGATAGGAACACTGACCTGATCTATTTTGATTGTGTGAGAGGACGAAACATGACAGTCTACACTTATTGGCATGGCACATGATTATGATGATGATGATTATTATTTACATTGGCTGCCTTTATTTACTCTCCAAGATCCCTGCTAGAATTAAAAAAAAAAAAAACTACTTTGACCCCAAAACTATTTTGTTTGGAAGAATGTTCACTGTGTTACTGTAACTACATCACATATACACTTATGTGCACACATTCCTTCCCTCACCCTCTCTGTTCCTTATCTGTCTCATAAAACCTCGTGAATTACACATGGGGCAGTTTCATTTTGATTTCATTTGCAGTTATTTATTACTTTAGTTGAACATTCACACTTTATTTTGTATTTGAATTAAAATGTAAGATAGGATGGTACAGTAAAATATATATTTTGATTACAAAGCTGCTGCCATTAAAATAGTCTAATGAATTTTGTTTCTTGTGGTAGATGTATTTGTCATTCAGTTTATACACATTAAACAAGAGTAATTTAGTGATGATTTAAAAAACTACTTGGACCCCCATTTCATGGACCCAGACTAAAATAGGCTTAAATTCACCAAGGGGATGCAAAATCGAGCACAGTTTTGTCTAATATTCATTAGTTATGGCCCTTGTCAGTCAGCCTTGTTTCTGACTAGTATTTATTTCCACTGGTCTTACACATTTCAGAGATTCAACTAGCCAGAAAAATATGTGATTTATCTCAAAGATACTTCAGTTAAATGATTTTGTGTTTGTGGTATTTTTTATTCAAGTAATGTGCTGATAAAGGCTGTTCAGCTGCAGCGTTCACTTGTCGTTTGTGATAATGCAAAGCAGACTAGTTCTGCTTCTTGTTTGGTTTGTTATCTTTTCAGCCTAAAATCGGTACCAAGAAATGTCTGTTTAAATAAAAGTAGCTAGCATCATGATATTGAACACTGAATGCACTTTAGTCCCATATTAAAGTTAGCACTGTATACCTAATAAGATACATGGTGTAGAAAAACAATTTAAAAAAAAAAAAACTTTACTAGAGCAGCAATGACAAATGACAGGATATGACATAAAATGCATTAACCCAGCTTTTTGTTTGTTTTGTTTCTAAAAGCTTTCCCTCAAGAACAACTCTATAGACTTCTGACTAATCACATAATACGCAACCACTGTGCAAATAAATTGATTCTGATTAATGTTGCTTTCTGTTAAATATTGCTTTTTTAAATGTCTTTTACATTTGCTAACTAATTATGAATATATTCTGCCACATTTGCACCTTATTATCCACACTATAGTGAACATATTGCAACATATCCCATCTCTTGCTAGTATATTCGGAATGCTGATAGTGCTTATTGTTTCAGGTAATTTGTTAAATATTAGAATTGGTTTAATTTACTTTAACATATACATTAGTACTGTACATACATGTATACAAATCCACCTAACTATATATATATATATATATATATATATATATATATATATAAATATATATATATATATATATATATATATATATATATGTATATATATACACATATATATATATACATATATATATATATATATATATACATAAATATACACACGCACACACACACACACACACACACACACACACCCCTACACCTGTGTATATATACAAGTTTATTAAAAATGATGAATACATTTTCATTAAACCAACGGTATATGCTCCTCCTAATTGATGGTTCTAACCTGAGTCGAAGACAGAAACTTGCTGCACTGCTGTTGCAAATTCAGTTTTGTCAAACTCATGAATGCAAAAAACCTTGTGCTGCACGGTGGCCATCTTACTTATAACTGAACTAAATGGTCCTCGATGGCACAAGTGTGTGTACTCAGGGGGTTGGTTACACAGCTGCGCTATAGAAGTAGTATTTTAAACTTTAGACCTTCACCTCTTTCTTGTATGTATATTATCAGTTTATAATTTATATTCAAGGAAATGTATGTATGAAAGTGTATCCATCATTTTAAATAACTTTGCATATATACATATGAGAGAGGGGAAGGAAAGATAAAAAAGAGTGAGCTCCCTTAAATATTTAGGACACATGATATAAGTGGGGTGAGGGAGAGAGAGTGAGGAATGGGAGAGTTAAACATTTTGCAATAATTCATTGCATTTAATAGGAAGCAGCTGGTGCAATATTACACCTCCTAACAATATTATGCGTTTAAAGTAAACATTCTATGGGATTTTAGAATGAAAGTTGGTTGTCAAGGTGAGACATTAGTAGTTAATGAGCAATTATTTATGTACTATTTTTGTTAATGGGCCATATATATATATAATATATATATATATATATATATATATATATATATATATATATATATATATATATATATATATATATATATATATATATATATATATATATATATATATATATATATATATATATATATATATATATATATATATATATATATATATATATGTATATGTATATATATATATATATATATATATATATATGTATATATGTATATATATATAGGGATTGTGTGTTTGTGCATGCTTATCTACTACCTTCAAACCAGATCCAATACAGCGGTCTACTGTTAGTCAGTCATGGCAAGTTATTTTTATTTTTTCTGGCTATAGTTAGCCATTGTATAATCCACCATTTTTGGACTGACAGTATATAGCTCTGTCAACCAGCTACTGGGTTGAGTGCGTGGCTCAGCACTGTGAGCTGCAGATTTCATTCGGAGTGCTTTTCACCGGTGCCCAGTCTGTTTCAGTTTGTTTTACGAGGTAATGGCCTTTAGCATTCATTGTAGTTTTTATCAGCCCAGGAACAGGACAACTATAGGGGGACCCCAGGAACAGGGCAAATATAGGGTGACCCCAGGAACAGTGCAAATATAGGGTGACTCCAGGAACAGGGCAAGTGTAGGGTGACCCCAGAAACAGGGCAACTAAAAGGTGACCCATTTGCTGTGAAGCTGGAACTGTGATTATCTGATTACCTGTCTTTCATCAAATGCTGTCGTTCATCATCATCAGGTGCCATGCTGACTGGCAGGAGAAATTTTTTCTCCTTACATTGTGAGATTTTCAGCAACAGTTATGACTTTGTGAGCTGACACCCTAAAATTTCTCACTTTCTTTCTCTTTCTATTCCAGTTGCCCCAACATGTTCGCTTTTCTGTTTTTATGAAGAGGCCAACAGTGATGAATTTTACCCTCGTGTTGTGTGATAAGTTGTCTTTGGATCTAAGCCTCTTTCAAAACGTGTAGTTTACTTATGTTGGCTGCCAGAGGAATTTCAAGCCTTATTGACAGTTAAAAAAGTGAAAGTCATAAAGATCTACTTCATTTCACTGGATTTTATCCCATATGGCTTGGTCTCCCTTTGCAGAACGGCTGGCTGCCTGCCAAGATCATCACACAAAGCATAAACACCATGATCTTCTGAGTGCAAGGCTAACAACTTGACCACTTTGCCATGGAGAACCCCCTCCCCTTTTTTTTTAAAAATAGTTATTTATGTGAGATTATAATTGCATGAATCTTTTATTAAGAAGAAGATATAAAGTGTATTTAAAAAGTTTTGAGTTAGTGCCGTCAGTTTAGATAGTGATTATTTCATATATTAAGTCTAGAAAGTTTTGAAGCAGTGACTACATTTATTTAATTTCTCATAGTTGTATGTATGAATGATCTAAACTTTACAGATTGTAATCTGCCAGTTGCTCATTATTTCAGCAAAGAGAACGTAGGTGGGAACCAGTGGGCCAGCGTCTAAGCACATTTGGAGGCCAATCAATGAGAGCTAACAAGGCTAAATCAACATATGGCCAGATAGAGACAACTGCAAGTAGTAAGGCTTCCACTCTGCCTGCAAACTTTCCTAGCGTCAAATCCATGCCATCGATCAATGTAATTGACTTTTTAATTATTTTGATAGGGTACTTAGTGTTTTATTTTCAAAGAATTGAAACGCATTTCTGCTGAAACTTGTGTTCAGCTTGTGGTTAATTCAGACTTATGATGTTTTAAATTCTGAATTGAGCAGGAAATGTACTTATCGACATCTAGGGATGTCTAAAAATATGCATGTTCATAAATGCACATATGTATATATGTATATGTGTGTGTGTGAGAGAGATAGAGTGAGAGAACACATGTATGTATGTATATGTGTGTGTGCGTGCGTGAGTGCATTTATGTAGGTATTGTGTGTATGTATGTATGTATTGCGCGCGTGTGTGTATATATAAAGAGGGTAAAGAAATCTTTCCCACCATTGGTGTATTGTTCATTTGATGCTAGACTCAATTTTGTGTGTGTGTGTGTGCGTGCGTGCATGCGCGTGTGTGTGTGTGCGCGCGCGGGCGGGCGGGTGGGTGGGTGGGAGGGGGGGGGAGGGACCTGTCAGCACTCGATAGGTTCAGTGAGCATCAAGCAGACCACCTTTACTTCCATTTACCTGGTACCCATTTTAGACTCATTTTGGCCTGGGAGCCTAGGCTGTTCTTTAAGGATCTATCTGGTGTGAATTTGAATGTGTGCATGTGTGTGTGTGAGAGAGAAAGAGAGAGATATGTGTGTATGTGGAACATATGATCTCTAGGTGGGGTTAGTTGGTTGTGACCCTGTAGAAGACTATTCAGATTACCTGAGCCCCCAGAATTGCTTGCACCTGTTTGGTGATAAGTTTGGTGCAGAGACTGTTCTTCTACCCCTGTAACAAAGCACCATCTCTGTGGGAACTATTGCAGAGCTTTCATTCCCCTCTTCAAGGTTAGAACCAGCGGTGTGCAAGATGGCTGCTGGAGCTGGACAGCTGCAGAGAGGCATAGTAGAATGTAAATAAATCATAATTCTCCACAGTATTTACATTGTGGAGAACATCGTGACAACTGGAAAAATAAGTGGAAAAAGGAGTAGAGGCATACCAAGAGAGATTATGCTGGATGGGCTAAAATGATGGCATGGAGGGATATCATCAAGAGAGCTGTTCCAGTCAACCAGGGATTGTGATCTGTGGAGATGCATGAGCGCCCACGTCAGTTGGCAGGGCACATGATGATGATGATTTTGATTTACACTAATGGGTCTAGTTAGGCGAAGGCTAGTTCAGGTTAGTTGCCTATCCTTTACAGGACGTTGCAGAACCAACTACATCAGCCCCTGGCTGTTGTGTGGTTTCACTAGGCAAATTTACGTCCAGTAGTTTGCCATTGCTTTCTGGACGGTCGGCTCCCTGATACCACTGTCGAAAACCAGTGCAAGGCGTATAGCCCGCAGCTGGGATCGAACCAGGTACCCTGGCATTACGAAGCATTCGCATTGACTTAAAAGGCTAGTAGTGGTTTCTTTACAGGCTCTAGACATTTCATTGTGGTGCACATCACTGAGTGGGTATTTGGGCCCCAGTTTTGGTTAAAAAAAAAGAAAAAAAAAGAACAGATTCACTTCCATCCAACAAACATGGTATTACAGTTGAGTAGGGTTTGCTGAAATTGGATTGCCAAAAAGCACAGAGGTCTTGCTGTGAATCACAACACACTGTGCAACCTCCCTTTTAAGAGTGAATCATTCACTAACCAATTGCTAGTTAGCATAATCATATGTTGTTCACTAACTAAATTCTAATTAGTATAACCGTGTGTCATTCACTAACTAAATGCTAGTTAGCATAACCGTGTGTCATTCACTAACCAAATCTAGTTAGCATAACCATGTGTTATTCACTAATAAACCACTACTTAGTATAACCATTTGTCACTCACTAACCACACGCTAGTTTGCATAATCATATATCAATATCATTCACTAATCAAATGCAAGTTAGCATAACCATGTGACATTCACTAACCAAATGCTAGTTAGCATAACCACGATAACCATGTATCATTTACTAGCTAGCATAACCATGTGACATTCACTAACCAAATGCTAGTTAGCATAACCACGATAACCATGTATCATTCACTAGCTAGCATGACCATGTGACATTCACTAACCAAATGCTAGTTAGCATAACCACGATAACCATGTATCATTCACTAGCTAGCATAACCATGTGACATTCACTAACCAAATGCTAGTTAGCATAACCACGATAACCATGTATCATTCACTAGCTAGCATGACCATGTTACATTCACTAACCAAATGCTAGTTAGCATAACCACGATAACCATGTATCATTCACTAGCCAAATGCTAGTTAGCATAACCACGATTACCGTGTATCATTCACTAGCCAAATGCTAGTCAGCTGAAACCGATGTCTTTCATTGTAATCAAATGTCACTTAGAATAACAGCATGTCACCCTCTTTAACTTCCTGTCACCCAGCATAAACGGCAGTGATCTGTTGGACACTTACTAACTTAAGTGTTTATTTGCTCTGTATCACCTCATTTGGATAAACGACCGTTTGGGATTGAAAGAGTTAATCACATATAACTCATTTAACTCATTTCAACACCATGTAGCTCGCTGTGTATTTATTGGTTGACTTATTGTAGGATATGTTTTTCTTAAATCCTTGTATCTCTGGCTCTATTACAATAACCCGCCCTACCTGAGCTTGTCATGTTAACCTCTGCTATACAGTTTTTATATATATATATATTGCTTAACTGCTTTAGACCTAGCTTTTATTATTTTCAAATTATAAATTCATCAGTTAGAAAGAGCGAAAGTAACAGCTGTCAAGGACTGGCAGAGTTAACCACATGCCACTTGCCACTCAGGGTAACTACCAGTCACTCATGTAACCACACATCACATGCCTGCTACTCTGTGTAACCACCACACATCATGTAATCACATGGTAGCTGGTCAGTATAGCCAGACACCATTGTAACCACATTTCATTCAGTAACCACTTGCCACTGACTTTTAATGGCAGCTGCTGTCTTACTGTGAGTCAGAAAAACATTAACACTATGTATATATATTTTTTTTTCTCCAAGTATTTACTAAATGTAAAGAAATGTTACATATTTAGTATAAAATTGTGTTAACATTGTGGCTGTTAAAACTGCTTTACTAGGAGCGAAGTCAAAGCACGTCTACTTCTCAGATCTCAAAGAGACCTGGCAATATACAGACATCAGGACCCACACCGTTACAAGGATTGGAGGTAAGCTGTGTTCAGTTTGGTGTGTGTGTGTGTGTTTGTCTGTTTTGTTAATTTCTTTGGATATTTCTGGATTTATTGTTTTATAAACCCTGATCTGCCCTTGTTATTATATTAGTGGTAATGCAAAAATATAGATCCAAACGAGAAGTAGAATAATCGTATAAAACAGTAACATGCCAACCAAGAAGCAGAACTAACCTACTTCACATTCATGAACAACAGAAATGAATGTTATGGCTAGAAAGCCTTCATTGCATACAACACAAACTGACAGTGATGTGGTTATGAACTGTAATACATGAACTCACTTAATCTGTTACAAAATTGGCCCAGCTACACACTATCTGACCTTTCATTGATGCTTGCTCAGGTTGGTCTATGTTTGAGGGTTGTCTTGATGTACTGTTGGCTGTTAATCGTTGTTGTGGCCGCCAACATTTTCACTCGTAATTAGAATTAGTGTTTGTTGGTGGGTATATGATAGCCATCTAGGAATTTAAGTAGGGCAACGGTTTATTTCAGCTGTCACTATTGGCAGGCGACGAGGAAGGTACCATTGCGTTTCTAGAGCAATACAGCGTTTTGGGAGCCACCGCAAAATGTTAAGAAGTCTTAAACCATGGGGCGTAGAATGCACCCTTTCACAGGACCTAGGCTCAGTCTGTGGGGTAGGGGGTTGGGGTTAGGGCCAGTTGCAGATGTTGTATGGTAGTTAAAACCGCGCACATCCTGTAATATAGAGCACACATTGACACCGGTAAGACTGTTGACACTGTACAACCTGGCGCCCCTGCCACTTAGACTTACGCATCTCAAAGGTTAAGATGCATCAATGAACATCTAGTCATGTCTCGCAGGACCCGACTTTTTTACCAGAACCTGTATTTGAATAGTGGGCACATTTATGAATGCATATTATTGCAGGATAAAAAAAGTGACAGTGCTTAAGGTGAAGTTATTTAAATGTAGGTTGTAATTTATAGACCAATTGACACTTGGTGGGTGATGTGATTAGTATTCTGACGACCATTTTATTTTACCTGGTACCCAATAAAGGCTGGGTCAGCCTGAGAGCCAAGGTCATTTTTGAAAAACGTCCGGCTCTGTTTAGACCTGAACCCATAACCTTCCGATCCGCAGGCGAGTGTCAAGCCACTACATCATGTGGATAAAGACAGAAGTAATTAGAAGAAACTATAGTATAGGTTCATTAGGTATGTGGACACGTAAAACTTTGGGATATTAAGAACATGACTAATTAAAAGTGCAGAAATAAGGGGCTCTTAGAGAATAATGCTCAAAGCAGCGGATGAAAACACCCTGCAACATTTGCTCCGGCTGATGGATGAAGTCTGGCAAAACGAATACCCACCACAACAATGGAAAGATGGTGTAATCTTCAAATTACCTAAAAAAGGTGATTTATCCGATTGTAACAACTGGAGAGGCATCACCCTGCTTTTGATACCAGGGAAACTATTTTGTAGTATGCTACTAGAAAGATTGAAAAAATCCATAGATGAAAGATTAAGGGAAGAACAAGCCGGTTTTAGATCCAAGCGGTCATGCATAGACCACATCTTTACTCTTAGAATAATTGTTGAAGATTCTACAGAATTCCAGTCGAAATTATTGATCAACTTTGTCGACTTCCAAAAAGCCTTCGACAGTATCCATCGTCCAACACTCTGGAAATTGCTTAACATCCATGGTTTCCCCATCAAATATATCAACATCATAAAATCTTTTTATAATGAAACACGATGCTGTGTAAGAACTGA